AATTTTAGTAATGGTGCAGACTGAGTCTGTCATTTTTCTCTCTCTTTTATCCTCCTACCCTTTCTGAATGTCAGAACCTCTTTCAGCACTGCCTCTTTTCAGTTTGAATTGAATTCTTGTTCCTCGTCAAGGACTGGGCATGATGAGTTTTAAGATACTCCTCTGAACAGACACTGAATATTTGAGAGGTTGATCAGTGAAATCCTGACTTGTCACAGGTAATTTGCTGAGAACAAACCACTTCCAGTGAAGCTTTTTGCAGATTAGAAACCCTTATATCTGAAATTTCACTTAACATGTATGTCGTATTTCTATTCTCCACTTCAAAACTTAAATTGAAGTTTGAGTCTATTACAACGTAAAGACAATAAAGGAATTTAATTTCTGTGCAAGTGGGTCTGCTCAGTTTGTGAGGTGCTCAGACCTCAATCCACTGAAGGTCTTTAAGCCTGTGGGTAATTCAAGTGTGAGAATTTCTATAGAGAAGCCTTAACAAAAAACATATTCTTTCAAAGGCAATGGAAATGCTAACATGTTTTAAATTAAATATATGCTTACAAACTTTGCTAGGTTTGCATCTCGGTGGATTGTTCTAGTGAACAACAATTATAGTTGTGTTAGTCAACCTTTATTCTTGTGCTTCTGTTTTGGATGTGAGAAATAAACAGGCTGTGTTTGCAATTTGGGGGATGGCAATTATAGACATCTGATGTGCAGAACTGGACAAGAAAGCAAAGACTAAAGAATAACATGGTTTGAAGTGAAAATTGCTTGAGCAGTAAGAAAATGCAGAGGACGTGCTTTGTTGGATGTTTATCGTGTGCCCTACAAAAACACCACCGTGGTTAGAAATAAATTATAGTTCAACATTCAGAGACATAGTATATTACAAAATGAAAAATAAAACCAACCTTAAAATTTATTTTGTTCCTGAACAAGTCCACTTAACTAACCATGGCAAACATGATTAAAAATGTGCAATCATTTTTCAAAACAAATAATTCCTTAGTATCTATCTCCAGTTTGTTTTGTTTCATGTCATCATTATAGAAGGGGGCAGACAAGCATTGCAATTGAATCTATGGAACCTACAGCCATATGATGATTGATGTAACAGAGCACACTATTAGACCTAAAATTGGACTTTGGAATACACTCCACGTACTTTAGAATAGTATTTTCATCTGTCTTTGCAGATGAAATAATTAGGTAGACCTCCTCCCCTAACTTACATGATGGATTTAAAAGCTAGGCTCAACGATTTTGAGATGTGAAGAGTTTTGCTTCTCAGCTCTGTGTCTTTAGGAATTATATTTAGATTGCTTTTTCTGAAATCATTAGGCCTGAAAAAAAATAGAAGCTTAAATGTATTCCAGGAACTGCAGCTTTAAAAAGCCCTCTGCCAAACAAGTAAAGCTGGCAACAGAATCTCCCTTATTGTGACCAAACAGCTCATCATTTAACCAGGAAATGGAAGGGAGGGACTGTTCTTTCTCCGTTCCTGTTTTCCATCCATGAAGAGGTTTGGATGGTTCCACCCTGGTGGGAATGGCTGCACCACAGTGTGGATGTCCCCAGGACGCTGTCCCCCACGCCCATGGCACCGCGTGGTGCTAACAAGGGCCAACTCTTCATCCTCTCCCTCTCCTGCCACAGCAAATATACATGTGACTGCCAGCCCACACCTTCTAGAACTGTTCAGTCTTGCTTATCCCTCTTGCTGCTCTGGTGCCTGGCCATTGCTCCCACTCCCCCTACAGTCACCGAATAGCACGATATTTCTGCTGAAATGAACGGTCATGAAATGCTTCTCGTCCAGGGGCTGGGTGGAAGACTAGAAATGAACAGGAGGGTCTGGGGGCTGCTGGCAGTTTTCCCCAGAGTACAAGAAGGCCAGCTCTGCCAGGTGTCTCTGTTGGGTGCTCTGGAACCATCTCCGTAGTTCTTTCCCGTGTCTGGCACTTGTTTGCCACGGGGTGATTTTCTGGCTGGGCTGAGGCATCTGTACCCCTTTTGGCGCAGGAGAACTGGTGGCACGGGCTCAATCCCCATTTCAGCCTCTCCCATTGCTATCCCATACAGCTCTTATCAGGGAGCTGATACAATGTCAACGTTCAGGAGACACATCAAGAAATCTGGCGTACAGCCCACGGCTACAGCTCGGATTCTGCAACAATAATGTTTATGTTGGCAGGCCATGGAACAGAAACTTGCGTTCTCTCCAGCTGACTGGTGTGATTCTAGCAATTAATTCAGCTTTTCCAGGCGCAGAAGTTTGTTTGTACAGCTTGTGGCTCTTCCTATTTCAAAACACATCAATAACTTGGGAAAAAAAAACTGGCTAGGCAGTCACAGAATCACAGAAGTGTTGAGGCTGGAAGGGACCTTTGAAGGTTGTCTAGTCCAAGTACTGCTCAGAGCAGAGCCAACTACAGCAAGTTTCTCAGGGCTGTGTCCAGTCAGATTTTGAGTATCATCAAGGAGGAAGACTCCACAATCTCTCTGGGCAACCTTTTCCAGTGTTTGACTTCCCTCTCAGGATAAACTTCTCATATTTAAGTGGAGTTTCCTCTATTGCAATGCGTGTCCATTGCATTTCCATTGTCCTCTCACTGGGCACCACAGAGGAGAGTTTGTCTCTTCTTACTCCTTCACATCATGTGTTTATATACATTAATATGATTCTCTTGTCTTTCTCCAGACCAAGCAGTCCCAGCTCCTTCAGTCTCTCCTTATATAACAGATTCTCCAGTCCTTTAACCATCATCATGGCCCTTTGCTGGACTCATTCCAGTATGTCTATGTATCTTTTGTACTGGAAAGCTCAGGACTGGACCCAGCTCTGGAGATGTGACCCCCACTAGTGTTGGGGAGAGGAGAAGGATCACTTCCCTTGACCTGCTGTAGGTATTTTTCCTAATGTGGCCTTGGAGGCTGTTGCCCCTCTTTGCTGCCAGGTCACATTGCTGGCTCGTGGGCAGCTTGTTGAACACCAGGATCCCCAGAGCCTTCCTTGCAAAGCTCCTTTTCAACTAGTTGGCCTCATCCTCTACTGGTACTTGGGGTTATTAATCTCTGTGTGCAGGACTTTGCAATTCTCTGAGTTGCCCTTGATGAGACTGCTGTTTGCCATTTGGAAATCTTTATAAAGAACTGCTTGGGACAGAGTTGGAGGGATGGAGGTTGAAGTATCTGAGGTCCCCACAAAATGCACACATCATTAGTTGTCTAGTTTTTTAACTTCATGACCCTCACATCTGTAGGACCATATCATCATCCAGAGCTCTGGAGGATGTCAGAAATCTGAAACGAGGACAAAAGCAATCCATACAAGTATTACCTGTGTAAATCTATACAGAAATGAGCAACTGCAGTTATTTAATTCTCTGTGTTGTAATTTGAGTCTTAAAATGTGGTATTTATAGCACTTCTGTTTCAATCACAGTAATTCTGCCCCAAAAGAAACATGTGTGAATGGAATCCTCGTGGTTATGAATGAACTACTTATTTTCTCTTTATTTATATAACTGAAATTCACGGTTTCCTCTGTATCCTGTTTTTTTTCTGCATGGTTGTTCTTTCCAACAACAAGGCCTCACTTTTTCTGCCCTCAGCTCACCAATGGTGAGAAGCAAAGTGTCCATGTGGTGTCCTGAGTACAGAGGATACAGCAAAATCCTGGCTGTGAAATGTCACCAACTGGAATCGCCATCAGATTGCCGAATGTCCTAAATATGTCCAGTTTTTTTCTTTGTCTTTATCCTGTTGCATGTTATTTTGGGGATAGAAGGGACCTGGAGCCTAATGGAGCTGTCAGAGAACTCCTATTTTTTTCCTTTACTTTTGCCATTCTCACGGGACAGTCATTGAGTCACGACAGGGATTTACACCCAACTGTGAAATTTGTTACTTTGGGCTTTACCTTGAATCCAAACTTTCCAGTCTATATTGGATGTCTCAGACAGTGAACTAAGGACATTAAGAGAACAATTCTGGTTTCTTGGAAGTGAGTAAGGAAAATGTCTTTGTGTTGGAGGCAGCCTTTATTTTCAAATGTTTGGAGATAGGAGAAACCAGGCTTGTTCTTTCATCCACACGGAGAAATTTAAGCACATGCAAAACCTTCTAGCTACCTTCCTTTACCCAGACTCGCGGAGTAATTAACACAGTTTACTTACTTTATTTAATTTACTTCCTTTGGTTTGAAATTTCTTTGTTTTCTTTCAGGTTTTATGCTGCAAATTTATCAATAGCACCAAAAATTAGATTTGTCAAGAGGGTGTACAACTAGAATAACTTTATAAAGGGATGTAGCAAAGAAAAAGTAGAAATGTTGCTGAAATTCATTTAGGGTATTTACGATATGCTCACTCCTAACTTCACTGTTGAAGCAAATCAGGGCAGAAAGTCTTCATGGCATGGTAGCATGACTCACTTTGGGTTCATGGAGATCTGGGCTGCAGATTTGAACCCCTCAGCTCCATTCCTTGTGTGTCTGGACACAGCCCAGCCTTGCCTGGGGCTGCCTTTCTGTCTTTATTCCCTGCAAGTTCCTGCACCTCCCCATCGGGACATTTTGATTTGGAGGATGGAAGAATGGCCCTGAGTTTAAGATGCTGGATTGAGATGCGCCCAGGCTAAAAAAGTCAAAAATTCCTTTCTTTAAACACACGTGGTTTCATGTGACCTTCAGCAAATCTGCCAAAACTTCAGCTTTCTCCCTGCAAATTAGGTACTGTCCAGCTAAGTTGGTTGGATACCAGGTGGTAGGAAGGAAAACACAAAATTATTTATTAAAAAAAAAACAAATCCTGCTTTATAGACAGAGCTCATCTCTTGTAAGTGGGTCAGAGTCGTCACAGAAAGTGTAGCTGCAGTCACACGGTGTGTTTAATAGGTCCTGTTAATGTCTAACAGTTTTCCCCTCTTTTAAAGCTTCCATTTTGAAGTCAGATGATTCTTAATACGTTTGGTTTTTTTTCCCATTTACAGTTAACACGTTGACCCGGCGTCTTGGCAGCAGCACTGGGAAGCTGCGTTGGTGAATCCAGGTCCTCTGGTTTTCTTTCCTTCCTTCCTTCCTTCCTTCTGAAGGAAGCCCCCATGAACGGGTCCCTGGGATTAAGGGGGAAGCGGAGGTTTTAATGAAGCAGACTCCATTCTTCCGAGGGGTGAAGGGAGGTAAGGGAAGATCCTGTTGCTTATGTGATTATTGCTAATTACTCTAATTGAACATCCTCCTGACAGGAATATTTGCCTGAGGTAAAGCTTGTTTGCTTCCATTCCTTTTTTCAACTGTCTCGTGGTGCCCTCTCGAGGTAGGAGAGCAGCCCCATTTATTCCTTGTTTTACAGCAGCTGGAACACAAGCTGGAAGCACAGACCTCGCTGAAGAAGCTGAGAAATTGCTATTTGCTTTGAAAAAAAAAATTAAATTTGCTAAAAATCCTTGCAAAATAAGTGGGATTTTTTTGATTCCCATTTAAAAAAGCACGCCAGTCTCTTTGTTTCCATCTTTTCAGTGAGATCAAGCACTCAAAAGGACGCAAAAAGCACAGGGGATGCTTCTTCACAGTGCCCTGAGGCCACAAAGGTGCATTTCCTTGGAGCATGAACAAGGTTAAAGGCTGTTTCCATGAAGGAAGGGAACACATTTCCCACAACATGCTTTTGTGCCCTTGAAGCAAAGCACAAAATGCATCAGGAAATGCTGACGTGTTTGGATATTAAAGTGGATTAGGAAGCCTTGACACATGAGAAAGGCTGACCTTAGGGCTCGAGTCAAACAGAGGGTATTGTGCTTGTGAGGGAGGTCTGAATGCCTTGGATGTCATCACCACCTCACTGTGAAGGACTGCAAACTGCAGGATTCTCTGTAAAAGTGACTATTAGATGCTCAGTCTTGAAATATCTCTTGCCAGGTGACAGCAGATTATCCTTCCAAAAATGCCTCATCTTAAATCCAGCAAGGAGCAAGGACTGGCAGTATGGTGGGTCCTCAAGAGGCAGTGAATTAATCATTTTGGGTTTGGACTGGGATAGGGTTGATGCTCAGAGTCTGGGGCAAGGACATCCAGTTTTAGAGAAGAGGACACTATGGGTACACGGTGATTTATTTAAAAATACAGATTTAAAAAAAAAAAATCTCTGCTTCTCATAGATAACTTTTGAAGGGGATAAATGTAAGCAAATGCTGAACAACATGCCGATTCTGAAGGCACAAATCCCCTCCACAGAACTGCAAATTGAAGACCCAAGGCTCCTGTTCTGTTGAAAAGAGACTTTTGAGCCCAACAAGGGGTAAGATGTTAATAAAACCTTTGTTCACTGTTACAAAAGGGAGCAGCTAAGTGTGGGTTGGGGTTTCTGCCAAGTTAACCCTGACTTCTTCCCATTGCCACCAATACTGCTAAGAAACACTTTAACATGTTATTTAAGACAAAGAACAAAAACCAGTTAACACTTTTCATTTTGAATGCTGTATTTAAAGCAAAAGCTTTCATTTTAAACACATCTTTATTCGCTTTCCTTGTTGCTAGACTAGGGGCTTTAAAGAAAATTCACTAACTTTCTTTTTGTGGGGAAAAAACAAAGTTAGCTTAAGTGATCTGAAACTGGCACTGTCTTTAATACTAATGGAGTTTTATTTTCTTGAAGGTGAAAGTGCAGGTGTTCTGAGTCTCCCCAAACACGTGCTAACCAGGCTTATTTTATTATTTCCTTCCCTGTGGTCTGCTGGGCTTTGCCCATCTGTAGTTGTTGTCAGCTCCTTCAGAGCCATGATCCGACAGAACTGCTATGGTAGTTGGAATAATAATAATAAAAAGCCATGGAAAAATAAGGTGACATTGAATCACCATTTCCACTTTTTAATTCTCCAGCAAAGAAGGACAAAAAGGAGATGGCTTCTGTCTGCAATGTTGCCTTTCATTTGCAACTGTGCTGTTATGGAATCAGGGGCTACTTAATACATGGTTTTGGAAACCCTTTGGATTAGTATGAGGTGGTAGGAGTTGCTGGATAAGATGCATCTCCATGAGATGCTGACAGTGGTGTGATGACATTGTAGTATTGTTTGAGAGCAAGGGAAGAAGTGAAGGAGGGAGGTGGCAGGTGTGTCTGGGTATTCTCGGGTCAGGATTTGAGCATCAGGGTCACAGAGGTCCTGTGGTGTCATGTTTAAAAGCAGGCTGGCAGAATATGTTGGGGTGACAGCCACATTTCCTCCTGCCCTCATACCCTCCTCTGCTCTCCTTTGTGCCACCCCCTCATCTAAGGAAAGGTGGCATCTTTATTCTGGTAGAATTAACTAATCAAAGTGTGCTGTTGGTGATTTCAATTATAAATGTTTCCTCCCATTCTTAAAATGTTTTCACTTGTTTTCTTGGCAGGACCTTGAGGAGCTCTCCTGAGAGTCCCTTTCACATAGATATGCACAGAATGAATAGTTTATCTCCAGCTCCTGCTGACTTTCATGAATAATTTGATGTAAAAAGCTAAGTTGCATTTCTGCTGTGTCGGTTAACTTGGAAGTACCAGCTTCTAATATTCCAGCCACAGACTGAAACAGACTTTCCAGTTTTAGAGGCCAAAGTGGCCTCCCTGGCTTCCACTCATTGTGAATACCTTACCTTTTCTCCTCCTTTAACTACCTGGCTGCTTCAGGCTCCCCAAAACATGAAAGAGGCTCTAGAGCTTCCAGCTGACAGAACATCTCTTGTGAATGAAAGCTCTTTACTTAAACACAGCAGATTTGGTGGGACATACAGCTGTGATTTTTACTGTTTCTCGTTTTCATTCCCAGGTGTACGCCAGAAAATCCTGTGGTCAGCCCTGAAGGTAAGCAGCTCATTTTACAGAGTGTATTCATCTGCCCACTCTCATTGAAGGCAAACAGAATTGCTTATCTGAGTAATGTCACACGTGTGCCTAAATGATTGCAAGAGACTGAAAGGAGCTGGGAGTAGAAATAATAGCACTACTTCATCTCTCACAGAGCAGAGCCAACAAAATAATGAAGCCGTGTGAATAAAGAAACAACATAATAATCAAGGTCTAACCATTTTGGGAAAATTAGCACTTCTTCCATAACAGTAACAGGCTGCTGGGAAAATGGTACAAAGTATTAACTGGTCAGGTTAAGCACACCTTAATCAACATGTGCCGAGTCCCACTGATGTGTCCTCAAACCTGTTACTTAAGTACTTGTTAAGGCCAATTAAATAAACAAAATTTTAAAGCCTAATAGCATAAACCACACAAATAACATAAAAGAGGCATAATGGTTGAATGGGTGGGCGTTTAGCCCTTCTTGATTTAAAACAGTGAAGTGAAAAATGTTGGAGCCCTTGAAGGTGATTTCGAAGACGAGGAAGTGACTGTGCTACACAAACAGCAATCAGAGACAATTAAGAGAACTGGGACAAGTGCCTCATTCTCCCAGCAGACTGCATGGGAAATTGCACTTTACATTTCAGTCTCATTGCATTTTCAAATAAGGCCCCCAGCTATGTCATTTTTTCCAAGTCCAACTCAAATCAAAAGATATTGCTTAAAATCTTCCTATTACTCCAGAAGTGAAAGGAATGATTGTCTATGCTGATGAGCCTGGAAGATTGTCTTGGAAAGAATTTGACAGTTTTGTCTCCGGGTCCCATTATAACGTTATTACTGCCCCTGAAGGAGACTGACAGAGCCTGAATGCCGGTGTGAGGACGAGGGTGGTTGAGGACGGCTCTGTGCCGCTGCAGATTTTGTGTTGTTTCTCTACAGAAACAGCAGAGAAACTGTGAGCTACGCTGTGCATGTGTTTTCTCTTAAGGCTTAATCTGATGAAGAATCTCAGCGAGACCCTGTGCTAACAAAAGAACAGGGCATACAAGCAAGCTAAAAATAAAAACAAAGACATAAAAATGGAAAGAATGAAAATAGGGAAATTTGGAAATAGTTATCCAGGTCTAATTATACCCCTGTCCCTCTGCAGAAAGCACAGCTCACCAGTGATACTTTTTAAAGAACTTTCTGTTAGGCTCGGGAAGGTTTCGGTACATGACTCAGAAATTTCCTGAAGTGCTGAAGTGGTCTCACTTTTGTAGCCTTCTTCCCACAGACAGGAGTACAGTGAGCTTGCAGAGCTCTTGTAGCTGGTTTGGTTTGCCAGAGTAAGTAATGGTGCCTGGGAACGAGCCCTGCCCTTATCTCTGGCTCCTGCCAGGATAGAGAACACTGACCCAGCTGCTGCTGTTCCCCAGCACAGGTTGGAGTGCAGAGGGACACAGGGGGACCCTGCACTCCATCTGACTGCCCGTGTGGTGCCCAACAAACCTTCCCTGAACCAGCCCTGACTCCTCTGCTCAGTGTCATGAAAGCTGTAAGATGGGGGGGCTGTGGTACATCCACAGAAGTGATGCAAGCTTTCCCTGACAGCAATTTTCCAATGGAATTGTCTTATCTTGCTGTTTTCTTTCCATGGGGCACTTTTTCCTTTTAAAGATTTTTATTTTAATGAAAAAGGCTCTAAATGTAAATGTTCAATTATAACGCTAATTGATAGAAAGTTAGTGTAAGATCTCTCCACTCAGATACAATTAACTCTGCATAAACCAGGTCATCATAGCAAACAAGGACCTAAATCAATTATTTTCAGATTAAAGATTTAAACTTCTATGTTTCACTGTATAACAATTGTCTGAGAGATAAATTACGGTTACAGTGACAATCTGGTACATGCTCTCCTTAACCCAAGTCATAAACTGCTCAGATCTCAGACAAAAAAAGCAGTGCCTTGTTGCTTTGTGAGGGTTGCAGAGCAAATATGCCCACTGAAATTAAGAGGAATTTGTAAAGAAAACAAGCTGCTTCTGAGCCAGGGATTTTAGAAGTTATTTATAAATGGTGATGGTCCCAACAAGAAGCCTTTTGCAACTCCAACAAGATCATTCCTGTATTGAACTATACAGAAGAAAGAAAAATACTGCAAAACCACACTCACTGCACTCAGAACCTTAACCCGGTTCCCAGAACCACAATGGATAATGTCTCTATTAGAAATTCATTTATTTTGGTGGGACTTCCTTGGAGCGTGGTACTACTCAACTAATGACTGCAAATTTGGGTCCTGCTTGATTTAAAACAGCTTTACCAAAATTACCCTTAGGGGCAAATTCTTGTCGCAATAAGACCGATGGGAGTTTTGTGACTGAGTTTCGATATTATATAACAATTGAATTTTCTTACGTGTCTGTGTACCTCAAATATGTAACTCCTAAGTGTAAGAAACACATTTATATATGTAAAAATGATGTATATAAAAATGCAGGGTCTGTTATTTTATATTCACTAGTAGCTCTATGGCTCTGCATCCACATCTCTCTGCCGTTTTCTGAAACAGAGCAGAAAGGCCAACGGGAGCGAAATACCAACCTGAGATAGCAGCCTAGCAAGGAAGGCAGTGCTGTCACTGCAGAGGGACTTTGAGCACAAGAAGTGACACTTGCAGTTACTGAGGCTGTCAGTCCAAATCCGTGTTGCTTTGGTACCCTGGATAAAGATCGGGCCAACTTAAGAGCTGGCGACACGCCACACAGACAGATGGACAGATGGGTGAGCAACACAGAGACCGTGCTGGAGCATCAAGTGTGGGTTCTGAAGGCAGCATTCCTAGCTGGGAGACTCCAAACAGCTGGCCAGCCTGAATTTTTTAAAAACGATTTATGTTTTAGGAAATGCCGCAGTTTGTTTGGTTCTGGTAACGTACTGAAAAAAACAGTGATGGGAAGGGGGTATCGTTATTTATTCCTGGTAAATGTGGATTGAGCTGCACAAAAAGAAGGAAGTGAGGAAGGGGCATTCCCTCTGAGCCCTGGAGAGAGTGAGGATGAGAAATGATAATGGAATTTCCCTGTGTTTTTCTGTGTCAGGGCAAAACAGATCTCTGCTGAGCAGAGCAGCAGAGGGAGTGTCAAAGCTGCATGTTGGAGATTGGGAAGAAAAATCTCACCTTGGATTCAGGAGCTGGAATTAATCCTAAACTCACACTTCAGCCTTCTTCTGCCAGGAGGATCAGCATCGGGGTAGAGGCGCTATGGGACAACTCCTTTCCTGGGACAAGGGTAGACACAGGAGAACCTGAACTTTTATTACAAGCTGGAAAACTGAAACCCAAAGGTGGAAATCTGATGCCAGTGCATTTCTTTCTTTTTTTTTTTTTTTTAATAAAATAGTTTAAAAGAGCTTATCTGAATTTAAATATCTAGATTTAAGCAGTTTATTTCCTTGCACAACAAACTAAACAGATGATTCAAGTGCATGTAAAAATTCAGCTGCTCTGATGGAATTTGAATGGTTTGTCCTCACATGCATCAGCATCCCTTTGACTTATAATATTTCTTGCCTTCTGTTTGCAAAATGAGTAGGGTTTTCCCAGGCAGATACTTTGTCTGGACTGCACCATATTCAGTCTTCGAATAATCAGTTCAAACTGCAAGTCAAACACCTCTTCTACTCCATTCTCTGTAATTGATTCATTATTTCTTTCAAATTCCTTGGCTGCCTCATGTCTTTTTGCCAGTGCATATTGAGCAATCAGGTCATTCCAGGTTGCTTTTGTTTGTGTTACTCCTATGAATTCAGTTTATATTTAACCCTGGGAATAACAGACATAAAAAGCCAACACGAAAAAAAGGAAGGGAGGATGCATCCAGTGCAGTCAATATCATGTCCAGCCACAGAGTTAGGAGGGGACAGGATGATTGAAGGGAATGATAAAGGGCACAAGCTTCTAGTTTTTGGAATTGGTTTAGGTTTGATAAATCAGAAAACTGTTACCAAGTAAGAGCATTGAAGGGACAATGTTTCTAGTGCCATCTCAGGTCAAGACTTCAGGATATTCTTCCGTATTCCCTGGGCCCTACAGTTCCCACATAAAGGCAAGATGAGGGTCATGTTGTATTCAGCATGTTTGGATCATCAGAGGCCCAAGGCCACAGCACCCAGTATAGACATTATCTAACTGTTAGCCCTATCTTGGCCCACAAAGATCAAGCACAGAACATTGTTCACCACCAGCAGAGAGGACAAAGCCACCACCATGACCCCAACCCTAAGTCAGTGATGGTACAAAGGGGTGAATTGAGATTTAAGTCTGCCTTGGCTTTTTTAAGGTCACTGATTCCCTTTAAAGAAACAAAACAACACAGAGACTCGTGTGTGCACAAACACACACACACAGTAATTAAAAGAATTAACATGGGAATTAGTTTGTGTTGCAAACCAAGGCTGTTGTTAGGTGGAAATTTGCCATATGCTCTCCAACACTAGACACAAAGAAGGACCATTTTACCACTTAAACCTCCGTTTTGCTGTAGGATTGGAAAGCCCAGTGCTGTCGATTGGCCCCTTTAATTTAAAGCAAATTAATTGTGGGAGCTGGATGTCAAGATTACTCAGGAGTTTTTGGAAGCTCTTTCTTTCGGGCTGCTGAGCTTTTATTTTGAGGAGAAAGTAACACAAATAATAAAATACAGAGATGCATGGGCTTAGTGTAAAGAAGACTTGGAGGTTTATATGTCTTCCTTCTTTTTTTTTTTTTTTTTTTTTAAACAGTCCAATTAGGTACCACGTAGCAGCAACTGGGCTAACACCAGCCATATGATGGAATAGCTTGTAATCCGGTTGTGTCTAACTCCATGAGACAGACTCCAAGTAGATGAGTTTTAAATCTCCTTAGAATTAAGAAGGGTTTGGCAACCAAATTAATTGTTTTGGAAAAATCCCGCTTTATGGATCATGAAGAGGATAAAAAGGGAAAAAACATGTCATCTGTAGTGGTTAGTCAGATGTTCTTTTGGAGTTACAACGATTTCCCCTCTAATTCCTCTCCTTGTTGACATTCCCGTTAAAAGAATAATGAGTACGATGTTCGTTGCCTTAGCGCTGCTCATCCCTGTGTACATTACGAAATCTTTGCATTAAGCCACCCAAATGGATTGAATCCTACCGTGAGGCAGACACTGAAAACAACTGCACTCAGCTGTGAGAGGCATAAAAGCCACGTAGAACCCGATACGCTGCGCTACAAGGGGCGATAATCGCCGGGACCCTGTACGGGAGTTTGTTTGAAAGCAGTGGTGGGGCCCAGACAGAGTGCATCACTCTGGTTTAGCAGGGCTGAATTATTTCAGTCTCTGGATTTTTAATATTTATGTAGTCACCCTTTTACCGGTGCGGTTGTGATGCTTTTGAGAAAATATGTTCTATGTATTATTAATGGCATGTTTAAATAATGAGAGACAATTAAATGATCGCTGGGTGATAGTTTCCCAGGTGTATTTCTGTTTTATATGTTTTGTAGATCTGTACTGTATTCTCACAGAGGCTACATTACTTAATTACCCCGTGCTTTTACAGAATTTTGGTAAAAATAAGTGTGCAAAAAAAGATATTATTATTTTACAGGTGGCATAAAAGCAGCTTCATTAGGGAGCCTGGTACTAATAATCCTTTAATACAGAAAGCCAGAAGATGGTTCTTCACATGGTACATTAAACAGTGAAATATGCCAATTTTGACTTGATTTCTAATGCTGCTAAACTACCCCACATTCATTTGCTTCAGCTTTAAGCCCTTTCATTCTCATATTCTCCAGCCCTGCTAACAGAATTGCAGCTTGCTTTTCACCTATCTCCTAACAGTTTAACATGGATGTCTGGGTCCAGCCCATTGTTCCAATTGTATATAGTTTAAAAAGCTCTGCAGTATTTTACTCTTTCCATTATATCTTGGCTTCCCTGAGCGCTCTGCTTGCTGCATTTTGCTTGTACTGGCTCTGTTTTCTAAACCCATTTATGGCTTTTTCTTCTGTACACACTTGTTCATTGGGGAGCTTAAATTGACTTCTCTCCATTCTGTTTCCTTAACTAAAAACGCACCATTAAGGTTGATTGAAGTCTTTTGAAAACACTTCATAAAAAATGAAAGGCCATAAGAAATTAGGCTACCAGTGTTTGCAAATACCTGTTTTCAGCCAAATTGATGGGAGGGAATAAGAATTGAAATTTAAAAATGCTACTGATATGTATTTTGTTTGCGAGTTGTTTTTATAAGAATAGAAAAAGCGTGTGTAAAACATTTTGAGGAATAAAATATTGAGACGTTAACAAGATGTGCTGTGCAGTGGTTTGTTGTTGCAGAAAGCCTTTTCTCCAAAAAAACATCAGGCACAGTTCTGAAGAGAGAAAATTGCAGAATGAACAGACGTATCTGGATCAGTTATTTTTCATGATTTTCTGTTGTAAAAAATATTTTTTACTCTCAAATATTTCTCTTCAAAGAACACTGTAAAGTCTTTCTTTAAGAGTAACATTTGAACCATGGAATAGCATATTCATCAGGAATAGGAGGAGTTCGTAATAAATTGCTCTACAAATTGGAAAAAAAAAAGCTTAATTAAGTCGGTGAAACTTTGAGTGCCTTTCAGAACAAAAACATCTGTGCAGTGGTCAAGGATATAAAGTATGTTTTGCATTATGTACACATATCCTTAATGAACAAAGCAGCCTCATTTCACGAATCCCCCACCAGGAATCAGGGAAGTCGTTCTGAACACTGGGCTGAATTGTCAGGGTAACTTTTATGGACACATGGAAATGCATCTGCTTTAAAAAGAGAAATATCAAGAGGGATTTGCACAAAGTTAAAAGCAAAGCAAGTGCTTTAGAATCAAAAGTGATTACACTGAAAATGGCAGCTTGCCTGTCAGAGCAGCTGAGGCGGCTCCTCACCAAACAAAATACTAATAGTTCCAGCTGTTTCCAGGCTCTCCTAATACTGCTGCTTGTCATTAAAAAGTACAGACTTTATAGAAATGTGGAAAGCTCTAAAAGAAAAATTATTTGATTTTAGTTTATTTCTAGATATCTTTTTCAGACAGCTGCCAAACATGTTTTATTTACAAGATGTATTACTTCTACGGCTTTTTCTCTTTTCAGAAATTTAGATATTCATTCTGACAGTCATCTCACTAAGTGGAGACATCTAAAATGCAGAAGACTTTCAGTAAAAGACTTATGTTGCAGAATAGGAGCAAAAAAATCTTCACAGAGTGAGTTTTACAGTTTTAAAGGACTGTTTAAAAAAACCCCAAATCTTAATATTGAAAAGCCACACCTACTGAGCCCTGAAATCAAACTCAGATTTGAATTCAGAATAAAAAAAAAAAGTTGTAAATAACAACTGTTCCCAGGCTTTGCCTTTAATAATATGATGAATTTAAGATTTTTGTTCCTTTTTATTTTATAAAAGCAATAGAATAAATGCTCCAGGCCTCGGCTGCGGCAGCGTTTGGTGAGCACAGACTGTAGCAGACTGTATCACTTGCTTTAAGAATTCTCCTGTTAATGGAGGGAAAGAGCAGTGAGATCAACAAGCAAAGTAGCTGAGTACAAGGAGGTCATGCAGCAGCGCTGAGTTCTGTGGCAGAGCTACAAGGAAACCCTGTCAGCTTCCATCCCATTAAACGAGCCATGAGCTATGTGTTGGACTCGCTGGGATTACCAGCAAACCCCTACCAAGCTGTCTGCTGGCTCTTGCTCACATCCTCTATCAATTATTCAGTTCCTTTTATGCAAATAATGTTTCATGGAAGCAATGGAGATCCATAATGGGAAGGAGAGTAACATCCATTTAGGAGAATTAAATGGTAGATGAAAAGCGTGACACTTTGCAGGCAAAAGCTATTGAAGTGGTGCAGTACCAGGACTCTCTAAATGTCTGTGTGCATGCACAGATGGGGAGAGTCAAAGTTTTGTTTGCTTTTTTTTGACAATCAACTTTATACAGAATTAAAGAAGGTGGCAATAGACACAGACTCCAGCATTTCCAGTTCTGCCCAGGGGACAGTTGAGAAGCAAGGCCTCTGTAGCAGATCTGTCTGTGCTCTGCAGGCTCTAAGCTCTCATTTTGTATCTTACAGGGAGTGTATGCAGCAAGCCTGGGGGCCAGTGTGTTTGTACTAAAGAGAGACTTTGCCGCTCTTCGGAGTCAGGGGTCACAGAAAAACCGAGGGCCACTCCTGCATTCTTTTATCAAAGCATTCTGTTGGTTTCAATGCATATATGGGATCAAAACTCTGCTGTAGCCCCAGTGCAGTTCATGGGCCCAAACTCTACTGCTGTGTGCAGAGGCACTTCCATTCCCAGC